ATGAGAACGTTAAAAACACAATTACAAAATATTCCATCCTAATAAAACGATACAATATACCGGAAAACAATCAGCTACATGTTCAACCAGCTTTTAAACACTCAGAACCTTTTGTTGATCACCCAAGTATTAAACGTTAAAAATCTTGATCACAAAAATTTCCATTGTAATAATATTATAGTAGGGAATTTCTTAATGAAAAGATCGATATATGCACATGTAAAATAGATACTCATGGTGCACAATGGTTAGGCGATGTTCTATTTGCACTATTTATCTCATAATGGCAATTTAATTGTATCATGCGCTATATATTATTATTATTATTATTATTATTATTATTATTATTATTATCATTATTATCATCGCCATTATTATTATTAATATTATTATTATTATTAACCTTAGATCTTTAAAGAAATCCAGAGAAATTGATCAAGAAACAAACTAACCATTGAAAAAGAAGACGACAGTAAACTCGACTTCCTTAATGTACTTATTGAACGAATAAACAACGAAGGCCTGTTTAACGATGGGATACTTTAGCTTCTGTCCTAAAATTTATGACAGACTATTCAAAATTAACAACACGTGGAAAGGAGTACATGAAGACATTAAGAAGATTAAAGACATTTTAATTAAGAATTATTATCTTGTGCAATTAATAGACAAACTCATCAAACAGTACTTACACACAAAATTGCTTTTAAAAAAACGTCAAACAAACAATCAGACAATGTATTTTTTTTCAAATTGCCATTTGTAGGGCCCGTCTCTAAGACAACTAACAACAAAATTACTCGATTAACAGCCCAATATTGCAAAGATATATGCCTACATTGCATTTAGCACAAAAAAAATTGGAACTTTTTTTTTTTAACAAGAAGGACCAAATGCCAGGTGACCTCAAATCTAATTATATCATACAAATTTAGTTGTGGGGCCTGTAATGCCATCTACATTGGCGAAATTACTCGTAGATTTTGCATTAGATTCAAGGAACACTTATAGGACAATAATTTACACAGGCCTATAAACATTTAAAAAAGAACAAACATTGCAATTCAAATAGCAATGAAGATTGTTTTAAAATCTTTGATCAGGCTAACAGTAGTTATCAAGTAAAAATAAAGCGGCACTACAATATTATATGGAATGATACCTCACTGAACAAACAAGTTCAGTATATTAATGTCACCCTTTGTCATAGGCCTAGTTCAGACTAGGTGGATAAACCCGGCTCAATTCACCGGATTTATCCACCTGTCAGTCTGAACTAGGTGGCTTATCTCAAGCCGGGCTGTGTTCCTATAGTAACTAGCCCTGGGGCGCCACCGTTTCCTGGTTACGGTTCATTATTATGCAAATTATTGCCTGGCTAATCCCGCTAGTCTGAACGCCCGGCAAAGTTAAGCCGGGGTTAACGTTGAGCCGGGCTTAACTCAAGCCTGTCTTATCTCCAAGTCTGAACGTAGATATAATAGAGTCCGCAAAAGTATGAACAATTATTACCTTACCTCAATACACCTGCATCACTAAGCATACGTACACCAATCTGAATTTTGGAGGCCATTTTGAAAATGGCCACCATGCCTTTTTTCTGGAAGTTCACCCAGGTTTACGTTAGCGAAAATCTTTCAGATCAGAAGTGTGTCTGAATTTTATACCCCTGAAAATGTGGAGCTTTCGTAATTTGGGAGGGGGAGGGGTGCATGCGCACCCGTCGCACGGGCCCTGCGTACAGGCATTTGCATACTGCCAATTCACCACCCACAATCACCTCACTTGAATCAAAGTCAAACAGTTGTAATCATTGAAAGTTTGAACAATGTAGTGCGTTATTTATTGGAAGTGGCTATTGCTTAACTACTGCGCTGTGGTATATTGTGAATGTTTGGGATGGCCGAATTCACTGGATCGAAATAATTCTGACATCGACATACACAATGGTCACAGACGCACAATAACAACACTTCACACATATCATCCACTTATATTTTTTTTTATGAATTTTGTTACTTCATAGGTCTAAGTGTAAACAAAAAACAAAAACAAGAAAACAAAAGCAAAAAAAAAAAAAAAAACAACAAACAAACAAAACAAAACAAAACTGACGACCTTATTTTGGGTTGCAGCCCATAGCTTGGATAGCATTGTTTTCAACCATGGGCTTACATAGACGAATCTGAAGCATTTGGAAGCTTTTAGAAGCTCTGTGATTCTATCCTGAAACAGGATTTTTATAAAGATAATTAATCATGTGGTGTTCATTATTTGTGTTCTCTATTTACCATGAATTTCATAATCAACAATTCCTGTCTGTGATCACTGTCAATGTGTATAAACTATGAACTGGAACTAAGCAAAATTATACATTTCCTAAATAGACTTCAAGCGTCGACAAATCTAATTAAAGTGGTTTTCATTATTCAGTATGATAGCAAACGTTTCATCAATTACAGATCATTAGGCTTCAGCCGCAATCATCTGTATTATGTATTAAACTAGGAAAACGCTACTGGTTTTGCAGTGGGATTTTGTAATATCCGACTTGATCGTTGACTTCGTTTGACACTGCAGCGGGAATTAACTGCAGAGAACATACATTCACAATTTAGATACAATCGTGAGTCTGTATTAATACTGCATGCGTAATGACAACATCCTGACGTCGGCGCGATTGGCCATTACTAATACCATCCCTTGTCTTCAACACTAAACAATCAAATGTCGTCTACATAGGCCTATGTGAATATTTTCTTTCTTGGAAACAAAACATACAAATCTGTGTGAACATGAAATTGTTTCATAGTGATGCAAAAACTAGTCCGCCCGACTGTTTTTTTTTTCTCACGCTTGAGTTAGTAATTGATTGAGCTAATAATGCTTATAAAAGAAAGGGAGGTATTGGTATATACAGTTGTCTTGATTTCAACTTTTTTATTTCAAAAGATGTTAATTGTTTTTAAGTAGATCTTATCATTCTATTTAGATAGAAATTACGAACATGTAAAAATTAGTCAATCAATAATTTAAAAGCAGTTGCTTGTAATGAAGCAATACAATGTATCACTGTATTTTTTCGAGTTCATATTCTTGTATTGTTATGAACTGTTAGTATAGAGAGGAGAACGCTGCCTGATGTGATCGATAGAAACATGCTGCTTGTACTATTTAAATTCATAACACGATACGTGATATGGTATTATAGTTTCCGTAATTAATCTAGCACAAGTTTGTACTGGTAGATCATTTTTATTGACGATCATAATTCTTTGGTTTACTCTGTGTGCTGACGTGCTTTGCAGGCTTCAATCGACTTTCTGCCTGCCATGAAAAAAATCTCCGCACCTCAGGTAAACGAAATTCTTAGCGTTCTGATAAATAGTGCCGTAGCAAAGAGATATTCTTAGTACTTCAAAATACACTTTGGGAAGCTATACCCCAGATATTATAACCACCTGCAAGCCCGAGAGGTAGAAGTAGGTCTAGGTTAAATTTCAGGTTCTTTGAACATTGCGAGTATAAGTGAAATGCTTTACTAGAATTAATCTAGCCTTCTAGTCATCTAAAGGTAAAACTATTACCTAAGACGAAACATGAATGCTATGAAAGATCATTTTATCTTCCTGTCCCCACCTTATTTAACAGCCTTCCTGACGGCTTCCGAAAGTCAGAATCATTTTATTCTTTTAAACGAAACTATAAATAGTATATTGAAGACGAAGAAAAGACTAGAAATGTGTTTCTAGTAGGTTGATGAATATTGAAGGAAAAGAAGTTCTTTGAAGAACGTCCCAGTACCAAAATCCCCTCACATGTAGATTCCTGTGCACCACGGTTGGGGAGGTATGAGGATAGACCAAGCTACACCAATCGGCTAAATATGTACCATCTTTGTCCTCTGGCTTTTAGGAGAAAAGTTTCCACAGCCTTGTTTGCTTTACGTTACTTCACGTTATTTTATTTTATTTTGGGAGGGGGAGGGGATTTCCTGTTTGCATGGCAATTCCTTTTACAGTTAACAACAGAGATAATACTAAATTATATAGAGTACCCATTCGAACAACTCTGAAGCAGCGAGGCTCTGGAAGTCTATTCCTGACAACCTGAGGAGTTCATCATGATGATAAAAACAGGTTTAAAAAGTTATAACAGCATATTTTAACGATTTATACGATATGAAATAACTTTATTATTTTTATTAATTTATTTTTTAAAATTTTTATTTATTTTGTTTTTTAAATTTACTTTTTTATAGTAATTTGTAATGTATTATAAATGTTTACCATGGTGTTCCGTACTAATTTACATATTGTACATTGTATTATATTTATGTCAAAAGGTTCTATCTTTTGTCCATCTTTTGTTCCATCATTTCCTCTTGGACAGTTTTGTCGAATTTTTAATAAATAAATAATAAATAATATATACTACCACTTTTACGGTTACCTCTAGTGTTGAAACATTGGTTGACAACCGCCGCCGTTGGGTAAAATGCATTGCCCAGGGACACATGAGAAATATGCAGCGAGGGATTAAACCTCAGACATCAAGGTTTAGAAGCAGCTAACGGCAAACCCTGCACAAAGCCATTCCTAAGCAAGAAGTTAAAAATTAAATTAAAATTGAAATATTCTAAATGTTTGATAAATTTTAAAGACAATGAAAGGGATAAGTGAAGATACAGGAGACCTTTTTATCGTCTTTTTTTATATACAGTGTAGACATTTTTCAATAATAATTCCTAATTAATAATAAGGTTAACGATGATGATGATAATAATAACAACGATGACGATGGTGATGAAGATGCCGACGACAACGATAATGATAGATAATGATAATAATGAAGACATAAAATAAGTAAATTAGTTCAATCAATACAATTTAACATAGGGCCTAGGTCCTATTCGTTACTGAGGCCAAAACGCGCAATGAACCACAATATACTAATGTATTTATATATATATATATGTATTTTTACTTCTTCTTACACAGGTATGTCATCATCATGAATCCACTGAGGCCTCGAATGACACGTTTAAGCACAATTATAATCATAGCACTGGTATGGGTGTTTTCGTTTTGCCTGGCCATTCCAACTGGTATACATACAAACGTCACTGCTTATGAAACAGAAGACAAGCTAGTTACACTGTGTGTCGTGCATTGGACAAAGGGACATCAAGTGCGCAACTATACATTATTTATAATAATTATTGCCTTCATTATACCTCTATTTGCTATGATAATTTTATATTCTCGAATAGCTGTCAAATTATGGTTCCGGAAAATCCCCGGAAATCAGTGCACAGCCAAGCAGGCCGCTGCCTCCAATCAATCAAAGAAACGCAGCGTACGTATGCTCATTATTTTGGTTCTTGCTTTCGCCGTTTGCTTGACACCTTACTACTGTTTTATTTTCGCACGTGACGTTATGATGTCTCTCAATTATGGAGAAACATCAGTTTGGTACTTTTTCTATATCGTCGAGTGCCTAGCAATGAGTAATAGTATTGTTGACACGGTTACATACGTAATTTTAAACCCCAACTGCAGGAAGCATGGTCGCATGCTTCTAGCCGATACTTTTCCAAAATGTTTCGAAAAGCCGTCGATATCGAGTGTACAAGGAATGCAGTTAACGCGACGCGCAACAACTAGTAGTGTTGGACGCATGGCCAGCACTGGAAACAGCTTCAGAACTTCACGTAGTACTATTTCGTATCAATCAGTTCCGAAAGGTGAGAGATCATCAACGGTGTCAATTGTCAAAGAAGATACGGATTCGACGTGAGGGAAAACACAATAATACTCAAAGCATTTGACGATTAAGCAAACTGTAGTTAATGGTTGATCCAATTACATTAACTGTGGATGTATATACATGCAGTTAACATAGGCCTATAGCAGTTTTGTGTTTCGGAGATTGATCGCGAACATACACAATAAAAATTATGCATTGCAATGTGAACGCAGACTATAGATATGTTTACCATCACATCAATTACTATAGATTTGTCTTATAAAGCTCCATCGCAGGCTTACGTATGTCCTCTTCTTAAAAGCTTTACAGTGTTACAGTATTCTCCTGTTCACGTATAAGTATTGCTAACATTTGAAAATATACATTTGCTTGTGATTTTACGGTTTATACCTAAACAGTTATCTCCTAATCTAAATATTAGGCCTATATGTAGCAGAAAATGAGATATATTAAGGAATACTTATAAGTCTCGTTCTTATGCAATAAAGATTCTAAATATAGCGTTCACATATTTATTTTGTTAACCACTTGTCGCATAGATCAGTGGTTCCCAACCTGGGGTCCGAGAAAAATAATTGGGGCTCCGCAGGTTTCCGCGAAAATTTGGGAGCCCGCTAGATATTTGGACCAACGTTTCATGATTCCATTATTTTTCTTGTCTTACGACTGTGTCACAAACATCTTGCTGCTAATCATGTCTTGTCAATAATGAAATACATTTGATATAGGCATAGACTTTGTTCACTGCAAATTGATTTTATTTCATAGGTGATCTGTTAGAATCGTTTATATAACTTTTTCATGTATATTTTATGTGAAGAGATTTAATATAGAAGAGACACTTGAAAGTGGTAATACTCAGGTAATGTACATCTTGTTTGTATGTTTTTTCTTGTACCACTTTTACATGGATAGGCCTATTGAATAAATTTAAAAAAATCAGGCGGGAGCCGTTGACTTTACAAAATTAAAAATAAATGCAGGATAGAAGAATATTAAATTAAAAGTTTGACAGTGCCATTTCCGGCCATCTATAAGTGTCATAGACATAATTTGTAAAACAACCTATCTGTAAAATGTACTTTCTGACTTCACCCACTCCCCCAAATCTATTTCGAATTCCAGGATTCGCCACTGTTTATTGTTGTACTTTGTGGCAAATCATCTTCTATCCATAATCTTATTGTTGGAATATCACTCATCAGTGGCCATAAATTTTACAAAATTGAAAATAAGTGGGGGATAAAAGAAAATTACATTCAAATTTTAAGGCAGACAGTGCCAGTTCCGGCTAACTAGAAGTGTCATAGACATACAAATTTCGTATTTTAAGTTCCATGATCTGCCACTGTTTAATGTTGTACTTTCGTGGCGAATCATCATAGCGACGGTACTAGATACGCCATCTTCGACTTTATATGCATAAATATGCAAAAATTAAAGGTCATTATCTTCGTGCCAACTGGTCGTAAGGAGTTACTTTCTGATTTTGTTGCTGCGGTTTGGCGCAGCGAGAACGACTCGGATTCCCTAACTCGAGGTCGGGGTTTCAATCCCTCGTTGTGCATTTCGCTTGTATGCTTTAGCAAGACACTTTATCTGCACTAGTTTCTTCCAACCAGGAGTATAAATGGGTACCTGGTGGGGTAGTCTGCTCCTGCGCTGATTACCAACAAGAACACTTAAATCTTGTGGACCAAATGACCAGGGAAAAGAACTGCGTTTTATAACCTAAAAGGAAGAGGCGCATTATTATAAAGTACCAGTGCTGAGTCTGTAGTTTAGAGCATGCTTAATCAAATAAACTTTGTCACCGTTTTTAACACTCCCCTTTCATAAGTAAATAATTTAAAAAATACACTATATTAAGAGAGAAAAAAAGGTTCCCATATCTTGGCAACAATTGGTCCTAAAGACATGCATATATTTATGAATGATGATAAAAACAGTAAATGACAACGATGTATTGTAATTGAACAATACCGTATTTTAATAAATACATACGACCCGATTAATTTATAATAATTATTAGTGCAGGAATTTATGCCACGATTTTTACGAAGTCCTGCGGTACTTACATCATTATTACTATCTCTTGTCATATATCTGAAAACGCAACCTTTTCTTCTCTCGATACATCTACAGACAGATTTTATACATCTATTTATGATTTTATTATATTCGTCATCAAGTGTTTGGGACTTTATTAGAAATTAAGGATGATTGCTTTTACTGCTGGAAAATGTAACAAACATATCCAAGGATATTACAAAAATATCTTAAAATCTGTATGTTTAGTTCTTTGTTTCATATTTTCACTATTTGTAACCTTTCGAATTGTGAGATCGCTCTCTAGCAGCAACCATGCCCATTAGCTGGACAGTATTGAAGCCATCGAAAGTACGTTATGGCCTATGCTGTTGGACATGTAATTGAGTACTGCAGTTTCAGAATTGTCTGTCTGCAAATTTAAATACTAGTATGCCAATGCTTCTTTTTCAAACATTTCCGTTAATCCAGAACTATGGGTGTTGTGGATGACACATACAAAACAAGTTGGTAGTATTTGCTTCTCAGGCAACACCAATCAAGTGGACGTGAACGTAGAACAATTAATATTCATGTTGAATTTCAGTTACCTACTGTCGACTTCTCTGGAGCAGTTCTATATTTTGATTTTACAAATTATTGGTAGAGTGTTTCTTAGCCGTCTTCGAAATTTGTCATCAGATTTTGGAGTAGTTATTAATTTCGTCGTCGACTGGTAAATCCTATCAGAGTACATTGTTAAACAACCTAGCGTTGAGAATTTTAGGTTTAAATCGATTTTAATTCTGTCTTTATGTAGAGAATCCTATTTAGAGATCTTACTTGGAAATTTGATCCCAATAACTTTAGAAGTTGTGCGTGTCATTTGCGTCATTTCTTAAGGATTAAAACAGCTCTTGGACTTTGTAGAATACTCCGTATTAGAGTCAAGTTGTCAGGACGTGTGTGCGTATGTACTTTCACTGCTATTATCACTGCAGCTGTAGATATTTCACAACAGTACTCTAACATTTAAAATAGTTGTAAAGTTAGTACGGTGTTCTAGTAAGGCGTTCCAGTCTGAAAAAACAAACAAACAAACAAACAAACAAATCCTTATTGACTGGTGCAACTTGGTAGGCGTTGCTGTAGAGGTGCTGTTTGAAGATGGAGAGGTTTGAAGAGTTTCCTCAATTGACAGTGATAATAAATATGGGCATGAAAAAGAGGAGCCCAGAACTTCTGTCACCGTTCAATCTTTCACCGTGAAGATGAGGACCTTTTTAAATAAATTAGAATTTCGGGGGAAAAAAAGTCATCTATTCAACACATTTTCGGAAGAACTTTTTTCTGTTCGTCTAGATTTGCATTTGTTGACTACAGTGAAGTCTTTAGGTATTATTATTATTAACCAGCTTACACAACCGTAAATGGATGTACCAAATTAATTAAATTATAATTTTGTATAGGCCTTAATATTTTTTTAGAACATATAACCTGCAATCTGCTTTGTCGCACCTTAGAAATGGAAATACAAGATACAAATGAATGTTACATTAATGATATAATGCTGTGAAAACAAATGTATCTGTTTACCAACCTCAGAAATACCTCCCAAATCAGAAAGTATAGATGAATGCTGTTCGCTGTTTGATACTGTCCCACACCGATTACTGCAATTCTTAACTTTATGGTTCATTTGATAAGAAAAGAAACGGTGTCCAGCTTAATCAAGGCAGCAAAACTCACATTTTGAGCGATGACGTTTGACTATGTCACACCTTTAGGTCTAAGCTACGTTTACATCGCATCTAAAACGAAATTCGGATTGCGTTTCAGATGCGCTGAACGCAGCGTCCCTTTTATACAATGGTCCGATTTTCTAATCGGTACGGTAAGGTTTCCGAACCAAACATTTGGATTCGGTATGAATGTGGCTTGATTCTTACGGTTTCACTGGTTACCAGTTTATAAACGCATTACACAAGATCCCCTGATTTATAAGTGTCCATAAGGTATTGCTCCTTCTTACCTTCAGGAACGTATAAGTCTCCACTCCTTTGTTCAGAAGAGGACACTTTTATACTATATTCTCCAAGAACAAACCTGACAGTCACTAAAGGCTTTTATGTATTCTTACCTATTCTCTGGAACCAATTTCCCATCGTCACCCGTTATGCTCCAACTTCTCCAATCACTTCTTAATACTCACCTTTTCCATAGTTATTTATTTTTAAAACCCTGTGAAGTTGCGGTAAATAGCGCTATATAAATATTCAGATATTATTATAATTATTATTAAACTATAATTCCAAAAAATGAAAAATGAAACGGCTCATTTGTATTTAGTAATTCTTAAAGAAAATGTTCCATTAGAGAAAATGTTCCATTTTTATATGTAAGTAAAGAGAAGGTGCAGAAATTGATGACAACGTTTATTCAATTCAGCATGTTTCACAATCAATCAATCAATTAATCAATCCAACAAACCAATAAATCAATCACCAAATCAATAAAAAAAAAATCAATCAAATCAATCAGGCATTTAGTAAGTCAGTGATACAGTCAAGTGCGCTTCTAACGAAATGAACTGTAAACAGTGCATATTTTGTGCGCTAACCAATACGCCACTGAAGTTCCCGAGGATTCTTTGATTTTGGCCGTCAATCTGATCAGACATCAATTAACATACATTGTATGATTTGATATGCTTTTCTGCTTAAAAGCATGTTTATATGTTTATATTACTTGCACGTTGATGACAGTGAGGTTTTTAGAATGAGCTTAAGTTCAGACGACACGAAACCAACAGGCGTCACACTTTGAGGTTTAATAATAAATACGTATTATTTAGTTTGTGCAAGGTCAGTATTCTAGTATGATATGACGCTGATAGATTATATTCAAACGATTACTTTGTCTGTGCTCTATAATTCTGCCTATTTTCTACATGTGTAGTTTGCGTACTTTTATAGACACTTGTAATGTGAATAGACTAATGATGCCTCAAGAGGTATGACGTGGCCTTAAGTAGTATGACGTGTGTAATTAAAGTGTAATCGAGAGGCAGTGGATTAAACTGAAATCTAAATTCTGATAAGTGTTCCGAATATTTTTCCTTTAATTTTATATATTTGATCTGCTACTCAGTAAAATAATTATGCAACGATTTTACTGTGACTCACAATCATGTCTCTAGCATAGTTTTTCTTTATATATAGCCTATACTAAATCATACAATATTATATAGATCAGCCTTGAAAAATACATCACAGTAGGTACTTTATGGAATTGATATTTATGACAGTTGTTCTTTTTCGCTCAACTAAAATATTTTATTTAAAAAGACAGTCCTAGTCAAATGATTTAAATCGAAATTAAAAAGCAAACAGACGTACGGCAATTGTCCTTCCCAGTTTCATTCTAACAACTACGAAGAAATATTTATTAATATGCATTTTTTGATAT